GGGCCTTTAATAATGATATTTTATAATTCCTTAATTGACATACTATCTAATTGTTATTTATTGTGTTTAATAGGTAAAACTCATATTTGGGTAAAGAATTGGAGAAAACGAGCTAAAATAGAGAAGAATGGCAAAATTCAAAAGTGTGAGGACTAAAGTACAAATATTCAAAAGTTGTGACGGACCCCAAGATGAATATTTGAGAGTGCTATAGGTCAATTGGATGAGAAAGGAAGTATAAAAAAAATGAAATATAGTCAAAATATTATCAAACATCAATTTCTATCCAAAAGAGTTATACTTTGGATTTTTAGCCTCAAATTGATACACTTTTTGGCATAGCAAATTGCGAATTTGAAAAATGATATTCTTATTCCTAATTGATATTTTTTTTCAATTATTCTTGTGTAATTTAATTATAAAAATGTTAGACTAAGTTTTTTATTGTATTAGATAGATGACGAACCTTATTAGTTGTTTTTAATTCAAGACTCGTTAATTTGGTAATTTCTTGAATTTCTTGATTATTTGTGCATCTACATCGTGTTATTTGAATGCTCAATCACTATTTAGATAACTTATTGCCTATTTATAGTATTGGGAGGCTCACAATAGGTAAAATACTGCATATTTAACACACGGATAATAAATATTATGAACAATATGTATAGCGTTTGCAATCACGTGAAAAATCATGTCATTAAATACATGTTTTTCATATGAATTTAGACTAGGAATAAAATCAGATTGTGTTAAGCATAGGTTTGATTCTCTTGGAAAATGATATTAAATAAATTGAATTACTGATTTTCATTAACATTCGAAAAATAATACTATTTTTTATGGGTCGAGAATTGGAAATAACACTAATAATGGGATTCAGAAATCCAACACATTCATCACATAAACCACTCTTAATTGCTTTCTTAGTTAAAGTTAGATTACAAAATCACAAAAAAAAAAAATCTCTTTTATTATTACTCTTTATCGAACTTGATAATAACTAGTAGATCAAAATTAAACACTATTCCTCATGGGCTAATAACTCTAAACTTACATTATCTATTACTTGTCAATGAACCCGTGCGCTTGAGGGATTTTACCAAAAAAGTTTTTGGCGTTGTTGTCAAGAAATAAGAGTTTTAATTTTAGTTTATTAGTTTATATTAGATTCGATATTTTTTTCTTTTTCTCCTTTTTTTAGGTTATTCATTGTACTATCTGAATTCTTTCTGTTTCACTTCTTTCAAGTTGTCATCAGCTTCTACAAGATTCTAACAAGATTATCTAACTCCACTAGACCCCAAAATCGAAAGAACATTTAGACAACGTAGAAGAGAACAAAGAGAAGCAAGCTAATGGTTGAGAATCAAAATCAAATATCATATTCAGCATTTGATTTAACCACCACCACCAGCTCTACAGATACCTATTTCCAACGAGGATCGAATACTAGTAGGAGATTATGTGAATCCAATGCATGTACTAGTGTTACCTCCTATCATTTCATCCTTCGAATAGGCTAACTTCTAAATCATACCAGTGTCATCAATCTCTTCCAGAATCATCATAACATTAAACCTTTCGAGAAAACTACGAAAAATTCACACGAGCATATCCAAGCTTTTCTAATGTTACGTGTAGTCATCAGCCATGAAGGGATGTCATTAGATGTCTTTCGAATGTGTTTATTCGATCATACTTTGAAGGATAGCGCAAAAGCATGGCTCTACTCATTACCTTCGGGGAGCATATTATCTTGGAATGACATGTTGAAAAACTTTACAATGAAATTCTTCTCGCAATCTCCAGTCCATCAAATTCGGAATAAAGTTTATACTTTCAAGCAGATGGATATTGAAACATATTTCGAGGCATGGGAGAGGTTCAAGAGCACGTTTAAGAAGTGTCCAAAAATTGACATTCCTAAGCAGGCACGAGCATATCTTTGATACTATGGATTGCGCACAAAATTTCACAACATGGCAGATACTTCAACGGATTGCTCAGTTATTCATTACGCCCAAATAATAACGCGATAGTTGTAGTATAGCTTTGGGGTGTCGATTCCACAAGGAGATGGAAAAATAATCAAAGAATCCAAAAAGGTTGATTGTCCTCTTGAAATGTGTAGGAGAATTCAATGTTAAAGTAATGAAATTAAGGTTAATGTCTTGAGTTGGTGAAGCGTTGAAATTCCCTCAAATGGATTGGGTTGATCACATTTATTATTCATTTTTATTACTCAATTAGAGAATTTTCATCCCAACTCTCTAATCGAAGGATTTAACAATAAAGATCAATTTAACTCACATTGCAATCCTAGAATTTAGACTTATAACATATTCGCACATTTTTGTTGGAACAAGATCAAAGATCTACCATATACATCAAGCATAATGCAGTAATTAATCCGTCAATAAAGTAATATTAAGATTAAAATTCAACAATTATTTCAATCTTTCGATAGACAGAGCATGACTAGATTTATAAAGAATTTGATAAAAGTTAAACCAATCTCAACAATAAGTAATTGAAATTGAAACTCAACAAATAATTTAATTTAACAATGAAAAAACTATGACTGAATCCATGAAAAATCTTGTAAATGTTAAACCGATTTCAATGTAATTTCATAAGAATGAAAATCTAAATACTAGAATTGTTTAACAATGACAAACCAGAATACATGAAATAATGATGTGAAATTACCAAATCCAAAGAGTTCCTTTCTAGCTTCACCTCGATTTTAGTTCTTCATGGAATTTCTTGAGCACCAAGATGAGAGAAAAGTGTATGATAGCATTCTTCCGATCTTAGACAAGATTTAGTGCTTATATATGGTGTAGAGATTTGTTTCCATAAGTGGTTGAACGGAATTATGAAACTGAAAAATCGCGACCAGAATTGTTTTATGCGATCGCAACGTACAAAGTCGTGGTTGCAACATTGAATCAATTTCATACCTGAAATTCCCTGCACACCTATGTACGACCGCATGCAATTAATACCATGCGACCGCATGGTTCCTACCCATTTTTTACCAGACAGTTTTCTATATTTTGGCCATAACTTTTTCTTCCAATATCTGATTGAGGCGATTCAAAGTGCGTTGGAAAGCTAACAAGAAGGATACAGTTTTGCTTGAAATAGTTCTTTCCCAATTCAAAAGTTCACTAGGTCAAAAATAGATCACAATCTCTAACTAAAAATCTAAAATATTCTTGTGCAGTTGAAAATTGACTTGTGAAAATGTTATGATCATATTTCACTTCTTTTGACTTCTAATTGCAATCAATTGACCCCCAGCACTGTCAAATCATATTTCCATCGCCCTTCTCATCTTTGAATTATTTACAACTTGGTCTTTGAACTTTCACTTGCTTTCACTTTTTTCATTTTTCGTTCTTTTCCTCCCGAATTCCACTGTATCCATCCATTTGCAACCTAAATCAAAATATAAGGGTACTTAGTGCATATAGGCGTTAATATATCATAATAATTCAAGTATAAATGGGTTAATTACTTAACATTTTGTTTCATATTCTGTAAGTTTCAAATAATATGTTGGCTTCTTCTTCTTTTTTTTTTTAATATTTCCATATCTAATCTCAGATTTTAAAAAATTTGTTGGATTTTGTTGTTTGTGCTTCCTATAAATGATAATGAGTTGGTGGAATTAATCTTTTTTTTTTTTTTTTTTGAGATGGTTTGCGTGATAATTGGTAATCCAGATTGTTCGAAAAAACTTTGAAACGGTAAAAATGAAAGAGAGAGCTATGAACTTATAGCCATTTTTGTTCGCAAATCAATACCCAGAAACAGCAGAAGGCAATTCACAAATAAGGCTTCAGATTAAAGAAAACTATGTTTGAGATTAAACCCACAAAATGGTTAATACATTTGAGAAGAGAGAGAGGAAGAGAGAGAGAGAGAGAGAGAGAGAGAGGCAAATGAATTAATGAAGAGAACAAGTTTGTCAACCACTGAATGGAGCCAAAGCCTATTGTTTTTTAAAAATTTGTTTGGTTTTTGCTGCACTTGTGATCGAAATTTGCTTATAGAAATATTTTTTATTGTTTTGTGATTTGATTTCAATATTTGCTTTTCATTTTTTCCCTTCTTTATAAATGTATATATTTTTCATTTTGATTTTATGAAAGTCACCGGTTCAATCCCGGTTCGACCCTGGTTCGACCTTTCGACCCTTGACCCTTTTTTATTTTTCGGGTTGATGACCTAGTTGATTTTAAAAACATTGAGTACAACAACTACTCCACTCAATCTGATAGTGGAAAGATCATTTTTTCCCCTTATGGAGCATGGTTCTCATGGCCAACTTGTTTGATATTTATTGTTAGCAATAAATAACAAGCTAGACACTTTGTTGAACTACAAAATTTTTAAATTATTAGATATTTTTAAGTTTTCCTTAAAACTAAACTTCCTATGGAGCGGAATCAATTATACATGCAAAATGGAACACAAATCAAGAGCAAAGAATTGTGTTGACAAACTTAAAAATAGAAAACATGTCAAGATTCGATAAAGAGGCAACCAAGCAAAAAATGAACACTAAAGCCCCAAGAAATAGGTAAATTGCTCAAAGCCTGAAATAGAAAATTAGAGAACGAAGATTGTCCGAACAAATTGATTTACAGCATAATGAAAAGGATTTTATATTTATTAAATAACTTAGCAAACGTGAACGATAATTTACCCAGAAATTGTTTTGTAGTGAGTCGAAGCTTAGGATGTGGCTCCAATATCTTTCATACAAGACTCTTGACACTTTCTGAATGCTTGGCCATGGTTCCTTTTCCAAGTCTATTTTCCCTCGTATAATGGCATGAGCAACACACACTATCTGTAGATGGATGAGTAGATGGAAGATTAATCACGATAGAAGAAATACGGGGTTCTACTTCTGGCGAGAAAATGCTTGGTCCTGCTCTCCCTTTTGAGGTACAAAAAGAGTACGGTACATAGGATGTTGGTCTTTCTCAACATGGTTTGCAAAAATGATTTAAAAAAAGGAATAACATTCACCTTCTTATTCGCCATGTTGACCAAGTCCCTATTGCTTATGTGAGAAAATTTCATTGCGTATACCATTCCAGTCTACAAACAACGTAAGTACAAACAGGATTTCATAAACACCACTCCATGAAATATATGGAGAAATGATAGAGCTCCGACAAAGAAAATTACTTGCAGGGCCAACAAAATTAGATACATGAGAAATAATTGTTCTTGAAGTAGCTCCTAGATAAAAGACACCAACCACCAGGTTTCAAAACAAAATAGACCAGAAAGTAAATTGTGCAGATAAGATTATGGGATATATAAAATGCATCAACATTAATGACAAAAACACACATCTTATCAGGGTAATAGATATAAATAAAATATTAGACAAATATCATTCACTCCACCAAGAATGGCAACTACCAATTTCAAGTGGAAAGGATTCCATACTCTGTATTCAACCTTTCTTACATCTTCATCTTGACCGATTAAGTAAAATACATAAATCAACACTAAAAAACAAAACAAAAATAGCTAAAATCATGGAAAATAATAACTCTTTGAATACTTGGCTACGCTTAAAAAGTACATTATTTACAAACGCGTTTACCCTTCTTACTTTCAAATAATAACAAGTTACAACCTTCACCAATAAAAAATATGCTTTTTACACAACTTGCTTATTTACCTAATAAATATAAGTAAAGCTTAAGCTTAGCCAAATATGCTCCGAACAAGGACGTTTGAGAATATGATAGGCGAGGAACCACTTATATTAACACACACTCATCAGCCAAAGATATTGATTTATCTTAGTAATCAAGAAATGTCGTAAATAGAGTAAAATGAATATATAGAATATACATAAACTCAAATCCAAACCTAAACAGAGATTCTTATAGATACAGAAGACAATCCTTGTTCAAGCTCAATCACATTTAATCATACCTAATATGAAGAATTATTTATATTCGCTTAAGTCTACTCAATAATGTCAAGAGAAACAGGCTTACAAAGACAGGTGGAATGCTTACAGGAACTTGTGAGTCTCTAGCTTTATGTTTGGCATCAGTAGTAGAGAAAATATTTTAAACGAGCACAGAGGTAACGACAATTTCAGCACCTAGGGCATCACCCTTGGTGTAACTGTAGGCTACTACATTAGCACCACCCCCCTTGGTCATGTACAGGGTCTTTCCGAATCCCTTAACCACACCAACACCACATATGGCTCTCATAGAACTATAGATTTTTGTAATTGTGTGAAATAATAGGTAGACTTTCTCTAGCCCTAAAAATAAAAAGAAATCAAAAGCAACTCACACTGTCATTTCTGAAGTCATTCTCTTCCAGCATGGGACAATTAAAAGCATTAGGAAAACAGGAAAACAATGTTGCTTAACATTCTCAACCTGTAAACACATAAATAGTTAATAGAATATGATCAGCTAATCAGTTAGGCAATATTGTTAAAGTTACTTAGAGAACAAGCAATCATTTCTCATTTTTGGCTTGCCCTATTATATATTATTGACTTAGCAAAAAATCCAAGAAGAACTTACTTTTTGAAATTGTTAAAACAATAGATACTACCAACATTCAGAAGAATTTTAAAATAGGAAGAATCGCTGTTATCAGAAAAGAACAAAAAACATTTGCAATGTAAAAAGTGTTTTAGCTCTAAACAAAGTCACAAATCAATAGAAGATTGACATCACATGTTGTAAGGACTGATCAGTAGCACCCCTAGAGCACTGGGCACAACATTTCATGGTACAACCAATTTCAACAATGGGCCATGTTGACAATTGGTCTTCTCATATAAAGTCGTCAATGATCAAACCTATCTGTAATTATCACCTTAATATTGATAATAGCATGACAATTGGAAAAGGAATATCGAAATCATCATAAGATAGAAATCTAGCGTAATACTCCAAGATGACATTGTTGAAAAAACAATTCGAAACTTGACACAATGTAATAATTAAAAATTTCAATCCAGTAGTAGGAAATAGACCAAAGGTTACTGAAAATAGAATTACTAAAACGACAAAAGCAATTGACAGCTAACATTAACAAATAAACATGCATAAAAGAAGATGCAATCAAATTAACCAAAAAACTACAGTTGCTGGAGGAGCTGATAAAGGATCTGTGAATAAGAGTGCTTCTTTCCCTCCCACCACACAAAAGAATGCCTAATAGTATGAACAATATTACTCATCTATGTAACTCAAATTTATGATGTAGCCTCTTATTATTCAACAAGAACAAAAATCACTTAAATAGTTCTTTGTGTAACAAATGATCTTTTGCTTAACTGGAATATTAGAACTAAGGATACAACCGACAGATAGAATGAAAAAAATGTTTTTAAAAAACACCACTAATCAACAGGTCAAACACACAAAGTGAGAACTACTCAACCATTGACATCTTGAAACCCATTAATTCTTCCACTTTTTTATATGTAGGATGGAATGTTTATGTTATATATCATTATTTTATCTTAACTATTTATGAATCACAAGCATATATGATAATATAAAAAATGCGCAAGAAGCTAAAGCTTCTTTAATGTGGCGGAAAAGCATCTCTCAATTTAAGGATTGACACTTTTTTGAAATTTATTATTATTATTTTTTTAAAGTTAAGTTGGTTGTTTTATTCGTTTCCATTACGTGATCATAATTCAACTAAAGATATTAACTTCTATTTAAAATTTTATCACGAAGACTATATAGCAAAAGATTTTGTTGGAGCCAATTAGAAAAGGAGCTATACAGTGCATAATAATCGTGCAATTATTACTTATGCAAAATGTGCAAACACTCTGAAAGTGATCATTAATCAGGAAATGGAAGATTTACATAAAATGTAAATCTTATAGAAATGTAAAAAAGGCCGCCATTAAACATTTCTACATATTGGCATTAAATAAGTTAATTTTTCTGAATGGAGGCATTCTAACCCCGATCTCGAAAAAGTTCGAGTGCTACAAGTCATTGGCGCAGAGAGTTCATTTGATGATTTTGCAAAAGAGAATAAGAAGAAATTACATGATATATCCGATCATTTATTGACTAGTTTTGAGACCAATGAAATTAATCGCCTTTGTGACTAGATAATATGTTGGCAATGTGTTCACCTTGAAACTGTTAAATTTGGTTCTTTAAGAAAATTTATATGCATGAACTGAGGCTTTGTCCAAAGAAAGCTTTTTCTAAAGCTACTAATTAGTTTGGGTAAGATAATATTATATTATTTTCAAATTTTTCCGGTCCATTTTTTTCTATTTAGTTTATCGAACTTAATCTGTTAGTACTCACTAGTATGTGAATACATGGAATTGTGCATTCAATGACAAGTTCTAACATATCAAGTCATTTACATTTTCTTTAATTACGACTTTACTCTTCTTCTAGCATAACCTCCTGCTTTGATTATAGACCCTTTGCATTTGATTATCCATTTTTAGTAAGTCACTATTTAGCCCCCATAATTAGAAATTTTAATGGTTGGAATAATATTTTTTTTTAATTGTGTGATTTAAAAAGAAAATAAGTTTTAGGATAACGTGTAATATTATATTATTAAAAAATATATGGTTGATAAGAAGATAGAGAAAAAAAATTATAATTTCAATAGGGCCAAACAAAGGCTAAATGATGCACACTGCAAAGCTTGTTTTTCTGAGATGGAAACAATCGTTATATTGAATCATAACATTCATTTTTCTTTAATATTTAACTGTATTTATTATGCTGGAAATTTTTATGGCTTGTATGGTGTAAAGCATTTGGCGCATCAACTTTTTTTCCGAAGTATATCAATTTTGTACAGCAATGGTTCATGTCTTCTCATTAAACTTCTCCGCCTAATTCTTTGTTTACTAACTCGATTGGAATCAATTTTCCTGGGGATGTGTTAGCTGTTAAACAAACCAATCTGTTGTATCATATACGCAGTTTCACTTATAGTACATATACATAATAAAAATATTTTTGATCCCCATGTTACAAATAATATAAATAATTGTTTTAATGTACCATATTTTTGTAAACCAGAGTAGTTTGTTGTGAGATTTTACACATTGAGCTATCAAAAGTCGTCTCTACTGAAGTCAACATTTATAAATTGTCGTGAATTTCATGTACCTTTTCAAAAAGTTCTACCATGATTTTTCTCCCATTGTTATAATTTAAATGATATTGTAATGAGAGGGAAATGTCTTACCTTTACTTGGTAAATTTCTTCTTTTATATTAAATTTAATATGATAAATTATTAAAATTGGCTTCCATTTGCATCAACCTTTGGCATGTGAAAAGACCAAAATAAAAATATCTTTATCTACTTAGTTTCATAAATTTATAATTATATCATTTCCAAGTACTAGAACACTTTGAAGCTGTGATTACTAGCATTTAACTCTTATTTGTCTATCTTTCCCCAAAAAACTCTTTTTTTAACTCACTTTCAATCGCATTCTAACAATAAAATATTTTATTACCTTTCAACAATGTTTTCAAAAAAAAAAAAAAAAAATTACCATTCTAAAACCCATTTTTCCCAAAAAAATTATTTCTAATAAACATCAAATAGGTGCGGATACTAATATGATAAGATTGTATGATTCTTCCGTTGCCAAAACATAGATTCTAGTATCCAATTTGAATTTAGATAATCAATATATTATACTTCTCCCACTGGATAAAACATTGGAAGGGACTTTAATTAAAAAAATGTGGGATTCGAAACATCATGCATTCTTTGTAAAAAATGGTAAAGTCTAATTCTTTTATCCCAATATAATGATTTTGTCAATAGTCTGACGACACCTTGGGGTTCCACCTTTGTCGATGACATAGCTCCAAAGTTCACAGAGATTATGGAGAGTCAACTGCAATGCTTTGAAAGCGACCAAAATATTAAAGATAAAATATGCATTCGTTGTTTTTTAAATTATATACAGTTGATAAGAGCATCTGTCAATTGTTATAGTAAATTCTTTAGATGAATTTTAATGTATTCATTCATAAACCACTTTACATTTGTGTCGTGAAATCAATAAGAATTATTAATTTACTT